TGACGGCGTCCACTTAAAGAACACCTGCTTCTTTGGTGTTTCCAGGCAGAGCGCCTCTGGCTTCGGCGTTCGACTGTTTCCAGATGTCTAATAACCTAGGTTTTCCAGATGTGTAACGACTTGGATTTGTCAGATGTTTAATGACTTGGGAAGGGCTCTCTCAATTTCGAACAGTTTGAATAAATATAAACATATGTTTAAATTGTTAAAATAGCTTAATTTCATGAATATTATTGTATTGTTATATTTTATTTATTAAAACAAAAAGATAACTGACTTTGGTATAAGATAACTGATGTCTGAGATCAAACTAAAACACCTACCAGTGATGTTCGGTGAAAGGTTCGAAGAGGAAGGCGCATTTATTAAATATTATCACACAGCATATCTTTTTTCTCTTTATTTACAGACTACACAATGAATATCATTTTAAGATGGTGTTGAGAATCTGTGAGATCTTGCAGTTTGGTGGTAATTGTCATGCGGCGTTAGCATGCACTACATGCTTGGGTAGGGGGTTGTAAATCTTCTAATCATTGACCTAGTGCGCTTGATGGTACGTGTAATGCCCATGACGTATATTACTTGTGACCGTTCGTGGGACCTCCTTGTTCTAATATCTACCCATATAGCCGTGACGTATATTACACTTGTGGCCGTTCACGGAACTGGTCTTTGTTCTAATATCTGTCCTAATAGCCGTGACGTATACTTCACCTGTGGCTGTTCGCGGGACCTTAGCGGTCTAATAAACACTTAGCAGAGTCGTGCGACGCTGGCGCTCTTGCACTTTCAATATATGGTTTTCCTTTCAATTGACTTCAAAGGTGTAGGTGATGCGCCTCTAGTTTAATATTGACCTTTGAATTACACTTAGCACTCGTGTATGCTTAAATATATGCGGAATTACGTGCGTATATTATAATTACTATACTGGTATGTGGCGTAGTATAGTGGCTGTGTGATTAATAACGGATAATTGATTGATTGAGAAATGCTAATGAGCGATAACAAATGTGAACGATTGGTAAAAGTATAGTGAGTCCTCGCGCTTGGCGAGCTTTCCTTAAATATTAGCCTGCCAGCTTGCAATACTGTTAGCAGTGCTTGGTCTTATTGATAGGCCGAAAGTTTTGATGACGTCAGAATAAGGCTATAAAAAATTAGGAGACGTCTAGAAGGACACTGCTTTGGAAGGTTCGAGAATTTTCAATCGTCGTTGCTACACCAAAATATTGTAAAATGCTAAACAATAAAGCATAGACTAATAGAGAATTTGTGGAATTAATGTTTACAAACATAAGCGTACGCGAGCATATACTTTTCACTTTATAACTTTTCTTCGGAATTGTTTCAATTCCAAATAACTGATAATTAATTTTTTTTTAAATACTTTAAATTTACTAAATTAATTGCAGTACATAAGATTTATTAAATGTTTTTATTATACTTAGTATATATTCTGTTCAGGATTGGAGCAGTTTCCAAGAATTTTAATTCTCGGAAAATTATAATCGTACTAGCTTGCGTAATCGTAAACATTGATTCGGAATTTCTCGATTAACTATTCTTGAAAATCCAACCTTCTAAAGCTTGCTTTCCTAGAATTCTCGAAATTTCTTAAGCTTTAGTCTCGAAGTCCTATACAAATCTCTGCATAGCAACACCTGTCCATTAACTTCCAGCTAATTAAACTGTTGCGCGGATATAAAGCAAGCTCCCGACAAGACAAGGCTCTCTCTTAGTGAAGACGACATGACACGGAACACGGTCTGTCTTAGCAGGATCACCATGGAACAGTCGCTCTCTATCAGCAGAGCCGCCACAGAGTGAACATGCCTTCTGCTACGTGCGCGTATTCAACGGGCTACTATTTTTATGAACCGTCAGAGAACACGCTGTTACTACTACAGTCTGTCGCTGCATTATGGATCAAGGCGTGCTCTCTTCCTGGGGACGCCGTAATACTTGCTTGAGCTACCTAGGGGGAAACACGCTTTACTACAAGACGTCACTACATTATTACTGCATCAGTGCATTTACTGGATCAGGGTATCACAACTTCTGTACTTCATCTGCATCAAGACATTACTACTGTTCGGGATTGATGCAGTCCCATGAATTTCAAACTAAAGAAAGTTCATACGCGCTGCCCGGCGTACAGCACGGCGAAAGTTTACAAACAAAACTCGGCAAGTCCGAGCAAGTTTACGACCCGAAATATAATATACTATAAGATCATCCAAGGGTATTACTCCTACTTTTCTCTCGTCGAACATTCTCGAAGGTTCTAGATTTTTCCTTCGACGCCTCGTGTAAGAATTAGTGCAACAACGACAATGCCTTGTTGCCAGCTAAGTGAGCCGCCGCGTGGCTATATAAGGGACGCACGCGGCGCGCCTCCCTCTCTTGGTGAAGATACCTCTTGCTGAAAATCATCTCTTGCCGAACTACCCTCGTTCAACTGCGCTTGCGGTTAACATCTTGCCGTGACCCGACAGCAGTGACACCGACCATAGTGAACCGATCTAACCATCTACCAGTAGAAGCCACGGCACACAGGTCTCGATCTGCCCTCAGCAGGACCGCCATGGAACGGTCGGTATTTTCAGCAGAGCCGCCACGGAACGAACGATCAAGCCTTCGGTTCGTGCGCGTATTCAAAAGGCTCATACGCTCATTGGTAATATCACTTCGCGCTCACTCAAGCGTAACTGCCGCTCAGTGTATAGTGTACTGTGAAGACGACGCGTGGCCATATAATCGGCATCATAGTTAAAATTACGCGCGTGCATACGAATAAGAAATCAGCAGATTAGATCATAGTAAAGACTACACGTGTGCATAAGAAAAGGAAATCGGCAGTTTTTATTAGTGATTACAGTGAAGCCAATGGAATAGTAATCAGGGGGAACATTAACTACACAGCATCTAACATATCCAGCCTGCAGTTCACCAGGTACATCTTTATATTAATAAATAAACAAGTCACATCTCGCGCTATAGTCGATCGGGCACACTTACGCTCTCTCGAACTAACCACTCGACATCGTACAGGCCCTCAACAGCTGACGCAAGAGTCACTGTGGTTCAGACACATTGTCAAAGAAGGACAACAACAGATCGACTAATAGACTATAAATACAGATTGTTAAATCCTTCATGAGTTAGAAATCTTACCATTAATTACTCTTACCTGTGACTAGATTCTTCTACTGTCCCCTTGCATAATTAAAGACACAATCGATTACTTAATAAATTCCATTAAACATCATACACCATATCAAGTATAGTTATTCATACATCAAGCATACTTGATTCAACTACCACCTTCTCATGCTACCTCACAAGCATGATTGACTGACTACACCTGCTGATATTTACAACATCAGCATTACTTCTGATACAATAATTTAAGAATACAAGAACACATCAATTGACACTTCAATAGAATTATTTCTCTCTACATCAAAGTGCAATATTATTATAATCTTTTAGAATAATAAACATTGGTTTACTAAATGCATGATATTTTTCAGCCTTATCACTTATTATTTCCTTTGAAGTTATCCTGCCGAGAGACTAATCCACTGAACTATTGAAATGGTAGTGAATGAATATTATAAATTTTTCTTGTTTTAATAAGAAAACTTTCAACATTGTTGTCTTTCAAAAGTATCAATTTAAAGTTGTAGAAAAAGAATTTATATAATATGCGTATATTTGTTTTTAATATACTTATCAAAAGTTTCAGTATGCAATTTTCATGGAATTTTATTTATTGACAATTTTACATTTTGGTCATGCTTTATTATACCTTTTTTCCGTAATGATATTAACAATTCATTAAATAATGTTATTATATTAAATATTTTAATTTTCTATTAATACTGAAATTTTTAATATATATACGTGACTGTTCGATTTAATAATAAATAATGATTTTAGAGTTAGAATCGCTACACAAAAAAAATTTGTATACGAATTTGTGTGCACGTGTGTATTGAATATAGATATATATTTTCAGAAAAATTGAAAAGAACTTATGTTTGTGTTGTAAACACTTAACTACTTTCAAATATGAAGTGAAATATATATTTTTAATTAAGTATATTTTCTTTTATTACTCTGATCGTGTATTTCCAGATTTATATAATGCAATACATGATTTCGGTAATATTTATGCTAATATGCATGTCAAGCTGCATCACTCTACTCGAAGTCTACTGTGTAATTTAGGTATTTACGAAAAGTGAATTAAAATAAAATATTGAAAGTAAAACAAAGATCCTTTTTAAAACTTCACCATTCATGTTTTGGTTACAAAATAATCTGCTCTGAGAGCTGCAGTTTAAGGCAATCGGCAATTTTGAAAAAATGCCAATTTTGCTATTATTACAGAAACACAGTAACATTTCACCAATTTAATTATTTTTAATTTTCATACATTGGAATTCTTCTCCCCTACGGACTCTGATCTTGTGTCATTCCACTTATCAACATTTGATTTTAGGCATTTGATAAAGAATTGTTGATAAAGTTGGTGATAAAATAGTTCATTACGACAATAAATCTATTAACATAAATAAACAATAAATCCTCTTAATATTATTATTTAAAAAAAGCAACACATTGAAAACTTCTTTATAAGCACTAGCGTATAAAACACATTTCTTTTTTATCTGCAACGGTTATTCTTTGTGCAATTGTAATAACATAATATACAATATGAAAGTAATAACAATATGAAATAATAATCAAATTCTATTAAATTCTAATTAAATAAGAAATTAAATGAAATGTAATATATATTATATTATTCAACAATTTTAATTTTAATATTAAACATAAACATAAATAGTTAAATTATGAAAAAAGTTAGAATTATTGGATCAAAATATAGTGTATGATTTATTAAATATTAATCCAGCGCATTCACAGAAACAATCATTTTATACGTAAACAAATTTTTAATAATAGACTTGACGTTGAAAGTTGCAAGTTCCGTTTGCATATCTAGCGATAAGTGCATTGTTTACAGTTGTAATTTTATTTTCAAGCGCCTTATTCATTCATTCTACGTACTGTCATATGACATAGATTAACTTTTCATATCAATTTTTTTTATTAAATTTTAATTAATTATTAAGTTATTATCAAAGAAACCATGTCCTGTCTCTCTACTTGTATCAAACCTATTATAAGGTCAGTTTTAGGCTATTAACCTATAAACATCATTTGATAAACATTATGTTATAATTTTTAAAATATATATTATTATTCAAAGTTGTTACAAAAATTTTGTTTATTATTACTATAGTTTATTTTGATTGTCTCTTTAATAATTTTATGCCATGATATTTACTTTATATCAATGATGTTTGTACGATATGTACTGCCCATTTACCTAAAAATATTCATTTCTTTCGTAACAGAATAAATAATTATAATTAATTTTAATATTCAGATTTCCAAGTGTTAAAGTTCATGGGCATAATGTTGGCATATGTGCTACAATTAGGTATAAGATGAATACATCTATATTTAATGAAAAACCAACTTTAGCTTATGATACTGTTTGCCTTGAAAGAAGCATTCTCACTTGGTTACACAAAGCAACTCCTGCTTTTCCAGTTGATGGTTCCAAGGTTTGAATTTCGTTTTAAATTTTAAAGTATAATTTTAGGGCTTTAATAGAAATTATATATTTTGTTTTTAATGTTTTAAATAATTTATATTCATTGTTATTTAGATTACAATTATTTATGATCCATCAGAGTTTTATAATTCTTTATTGACAGAATGCAAAACCGCTAAGATGAGAATAACATTAGCATCGTTATACTTAGGTAGTGGGAAATTAGAAAAGGAATTGGCAAGTATTAATACATAATCTATATTAGGAAATTATATATTATCAATAGTTATAAAAAGTAACTATTTTATTAGTAAATAGATTATATTTAAATTATGAAATAGTAATATATGTATATTTGTATTTCAGGTGAATTCTATAAAGCAGACAATGTTTTCTAGTAATGGAAGTGTTAAAGTAAATATTCTTTTAGATTATAATAGAGGTTCTCGTGGTAAAATTAATTCTAAAAGAATTCTAGCACCTCTTCTCAACAATAAATTTACATTTTGTTGTAATATTTTTCTTTATCATACACCTAGATTAAGAGGTTTTTTGAAAGCTCTCATACCTTATCGTTTTAATGAAATCATAGGCTTACAGCATATGAAATTATATTTATTTGATAATACACTTATAATCAGTGGGTAAGGGATAACAGTTGAGCATCTAATTTTGTCTATTATAAAACATTAAATGTATACTTCATTTATAGTATAAAATATCGGCTCTTTTTATCTTTTTTCATATCATTTTAGAGCAAATTTAAGTAACGATTATTTTTGTAATCGTCAAGATCGTTATTTTCTAATTAAAGATTGCAAGGACTTGTGTGATTTTTATTGCAGTCTTGTTGAAAGAGTCACAGAATTTAGTTTTCAATTACAACCAGATGGCAGTACCATATATAGTAATAAAATTCAATCTCATCCGCTCAACAGTTCTAAAAAAAAATTTGCTGCAGAAGCTTCTATTAAAATAAAAAAGCTTTTTCAACAAGAAATTAATAAACGTTTGGAATTAAAAGAAAAAGGCATTATTATTATTTTATTATGTATAATTCGTTATCAATATTTTTAATATGTGAATAAAAAATAAATACTATTATTATTTATTTTCAGACATGCCGAAAACCGATACATGGATTTTTCCATTAGTGCAAATGGGTCAGTTGAATATCAGACATGACAGTGAGATAATATTATACTTATTGAAAAATGCTTCATTAGGCGCAACATTGAGAATGGCGACTGGATATTTTAATTTGACCTCAGAATATAGAAAAGCAATATTAAATACATGTCAAGCAAACTGTCATCTCTTAATCGCTCATCCCAGAGCAAATGGATTTTTTGGTAATCATTTTTATCAAATTGATTTAAATAAAGCAATAAATTAACGATTTTATATAATAACCAATGTATTTTATTATTTACATAATGTATTCTATAATTTATATTTCAGACATCAACTACTATGAATGTATATTTTTATAAATGATAAATATTATTTTGTATAATTAAAAGTAATTTATACATTTTATTATTGTGTAGGAGCAAAAGGTATAGCAAGTGGAATACCAGCAGCTTATACAACAATTGAAGAATCATTTTTTAAAATGTGTGAAAAGTTTAGTCAAAGTGAAAGGGTACAGCTGTGGGAATTTTTAAAACATGGTTGGACATATCATGCAAAAGGACTTTGGTATTCATTGCCGGGTGATCAAAAACCTTGTTTTACTCTTATTGGCTCTTCAAATTTTGGTATGTAAAAATAAGAAATTGAATTTTTATAAATTATGTTATTTATAAATTATAAATTATATTTATGGATACTAGTTATGTTTCTATTATGAAACTAAAAGTAAATATATAAAATCATTTTCAATTGAATAATTTTCGTATATCTTTAATTTAATTATATGTGTAATTAGTTTTGTATGTGCTGTATATATTAACAAAATAACTTATTTTGGAGAAATTTTTCACTATGTAATTTAAATCAAAATAAATTTACTGATAATGTAAATGATATGTAATAACAGATATTATTTTATTGATTTTAAATGAATTACTTATAATTAAATTAAATTATAAGAAAATTTAATCTGGTTTTTACATTTCTTCTATAAATATTTAATAAATTACAATTTTTAATTAAAATAAAACTGGTTATAAAATTAATTAACTTCAATTTAATCTGAATTATTCTGAATTAAATTAATAAAAAACTGTTTTTTTTCCTATCTAAAATTGTAATAAGTGTTTTGATTAAAAATGATTTGTATTTCAAGGCTATCGATCTGTGGATAGGGATCTGGAAACTCAAATAGCACTTTTAACAAAAAATAAAGATCTTCAGGACTCTTTACAAAAGGAATACGAGAGGCTATTCAATTGTGCAATACCTGTAACAAAAATGACATTTGCACAAAAAGAGAGAATACCACCAACATGGGTTAGACTAGTTGCATATTTGTTTCGTTATTATTTTTGAATTATTTTATTAAAAAAATAATATTTGAAACAATATTCCGTACACTTAATTAGAATTATTATTTTATAAAAATATTTTTTTTAATACTTTGGAAATAGTCAATTGTAATTTACAATTCATTTTATTAAGAGATTACACTTTATAAAGTATTATAATTTATATTTTAACCTTAATTTAACAAAATATAAAATAAATAATATTAATAACTTCACAAAATTTATGCTAGTATAGGAAATTTTAACTTTCATTTGACACGAATTTTGTATCATTAATACATAATTATTTAACAAATTGTAAATAAACATTTTCTTATTTTTATGTTTTTAGAAAATGTAAATCGTACTTAAATATTTAACGATAAAAATTATTTATGTCAAAAATATTTAAATTTATAATTATATATAGTAGTTTTTATTGTAAATAAATAAATTTATTAGAAATGTTTGTTTTTTAATTTCAAGAATATATAAATACCTTTATTTTACAATATAATAAAATTTGATGTACTTAACGATAGTACAGGTTTATTAATAAATCTTATTAAAAAGTTTTTATATATATAAAATACAAAGGGAAAGGTGTTAAAGTACTATTAAGTTGATCAAATTGATTTTTTATTTCAGAACAAATCGGATGGTATAAATAATAAAAAGGCCGTTGCAACGCTTTTCAGTCTGACAGATAATACATTGTCCAATGTTGAAATTTCCATCCTATTCTGTAAGGGATATGATAGAATCCAATGTAGTAATAGATATAGAGATAAAAAATTAATTGTTGGTGACACAACGTGAGAGTCATTTAATATATTTATTTTTTTTGTTGATTTACTTGAGTTTAGTTTTGTTTAACTGTCGTTTTCTTGACAGTTATTTCTTTAACAGTCCGGCTGTACTGGCAGTTATCTAAAATACTTTTGGTTGCCAGTTGTTTTAAAATAGATGTTATTTTCCTATTACAGGGTAATTCAAGAATTGTTTGCTTGATTTTATAAAAGAAATAGCTTAAAAGAGATTTTTTATTTATCGTCGATTATGAACGATTCTTCTTTGACGAAAAATTCTACAACTTCCTCATCCATATTCTTTGTGTCTGAATCCAACTCATCTGTATCAATATCTGAAAAATTTATTGAAAATTAATTTTGAAGTATTAAAAATGATTTATATAGAACATTATATTAAAGTTATAATATTTCGATTAAATAAATTTAGACATTTATTTTTATGTTGAAAGCTTTAAAACCATACTTTACATTTTATTTAAAAAAAAAAAAAAAACATTTTTAAACATTAGTTAAATTGACAATATTTATTAAATAATGTTAAATATTTTAGATAAAAGAAAATTAATTGATAATAAATTGTAATATTTAAATAGTAAAATATAAAGTTTCTTTTATAGTTTAACTATTATGGAAAATAATTCGAATTTATATGGATATTATAAAAATAAAATAATATTAAACATACTTTTACGTAATTCCATACGACGTTTCTTTTGCTTATTCCATTCTTCAGTACGTTCTGTGCGATAAGTATCAAATGATTTCATTAGAGCACAACGTTTTTCTATCAATTCCTGTACAATTGAAAAAAGGAAATATATACATGAAATTTTATAACAATTTCTCTTTTTTTATAATAAATTAATGTAAATAAAATGCGAATAATGACCTTGGAAGCACGCGTAAGACGAAGACGATCCTTGCTTTCAAATTGGGCTGAATATTTCTTTAGATTTTTCTTGATCTCCTTGATCTGGTCACTGGTGAGTAGAGTTGGCGGTCTTGGACGCCACAGAAACTGATTGAAATGATTAAGGTTGACTCTCTTTAAAATTCTACCTTGGAATGTCCAAAGCCAATAAGCATTATCGACACTTGTCTTCCAGCTTGACACTGATGTTACTACATAACTGCAAGGCAACAAATTATTTATTTTGTATTATTAGATTTAGGTTATAAGAATCAATCACAATTCCAGTGAAAATATAAATTATTAAAGTAATTATATTGTGTTTAAACGAATGTCTACATATCATTAGTATTATACTAAATAATTTATGCACAAATAATGTACTTCTTATCTGATGAATAAACTAATTTGAATACAAAGTATGGATTATTTGTAAATGCTGTATGATTGTAATAACGTTTAATTTAATGATATTACTAAGCAAGTAAAATGTAAATATTAAATAAATTAAATTTAGCCATAAGTATTTGATATCATTATTGAATTGTTTCTATTATACTATTAAAATTTTTTAATTACTAAATTATCATATTGAAGAAAAATAATAAAAGATGTTTACTTTTATTAAATATTTATGTTTGTTTCATTAAAAATCAATAAAAGATGAACATTAATAATTACCGGCCCGTTGGATCCCACTCAACATCAGAAGTTTGATAATGATCCGTCAGATTCATAACAGTGAAGTCATTAGTATCGATAAATTCTAAAGCCCCAGACATAGTAGTAAGTCCAGCCAACACAATAAATTGACCAGACGGCGACCAGAATAAGTGATTGCATGCTTTTTTCTCCAATTTTTCTAAAAGTTGTAGCATTTAATTAAAAATTTATTTAAGGCCCTTACAAATTTCAATAGTAGATCATTAAATGAATTTAATGCATTTAATTTAAATAAAAATAATCATTGTAAGACGCTTACTGAGAAGAGCAGGACCATGTCCACAGCGTACTTCATAAAAACTAACATTTACGCTAGGTGATTCACCATGAATAATCGCAAATTTATTTCCCACTGGTTCCCACGCAAAAGAATGAATGGGTTCCTTTATTTCTACACTGTCAACGGGAATAAGTTTTTCACGCATATGAAAAATTTCGAAGTTGTAAGACATTCCCTGAAAGTGTTGTAATGTTTGAAATTTACAACTTTCCTGAAAAAAGTTATAAGAATTAAAGATTAGTATGCACGTTAACTAAAATGAATTAATTTTAAAGTCCAAGACTTTTTAAACTATTATTGTGTACAATCCAAAATATTTCCGATTATTAGCTTTTCCGAATGAGTATATTGTCGTAATACAAAATTTGTTACGTATTTATAAAATTTATAATTAATACTATAGTATACAATTTTTTCATTTTTATTGAGGTTCTTAGAAATTTTATAATTATTTTTAGTAATTGATATAGATCCGTTTAATTAAATTACACTAACATAACAATGAAAATATATATCTTACCGTATATTTCTGTTCAGTTTTTTCTTTTTTCTTGGCAAAACGATCAACTTTCACACATAAATAATCGCCCGATTTTTGCCAAAATATTTTACAATCAGCAACATTAAATAGATTATTTTTACGAATTTCATTACGACTGAAAATAATATTATAATTAAAATAAAATACGATTTAATAGTAAACATTAAAATTACCTAGGTATTTCCATCAATGTAACTCTAGCAGGTACATCCTTGTCTTCCGGAACCCAAAAAGCAATGATATTGTCAGTTGGTGACCAACTGAAATCCCTGATACCTGGTATTTTTATACTTTTCTTATCAAGTAGACCAAATGACTGGAATTTAAAAATTTTATAACAATTTCTAACAAACAAATAAAAAGATAATTACAGCTAAAGTCACTAATAAATATTTAAATACGAATCATTTACACAATATATTTTACATTTCATCATATAAATTTTGTAATAAAATTATATATATTTTAACACAATGTATTTAACAAATTGGCAAGTAAATGCATAGTGGGTGTATATGCAAATGTAAATATATGCACACATAATTCGCACACACCAATATATATTTATACACACACATATTCGATGTCATACATCCTAATTTTGAAAATAATATGTAAAATATAAATAGTTTTTAGACTCAATTAATTTTTGTGATATAGTTAATTATTTTCTATTAAATTTTTATACATTTTATAATGTTTAAATAAAATATAAAATATTTAAGATATACTTATTTAAGATACAAATATCTAGAAAATATGGATAAAATATAATGTATTTCATCTTATATCATTATTTTAATCAATTTACATTATTTATATATGCAGTTAAGACATTTTATTTAATTACAAATATAAATATTGAAATACATATAGTTCATGCAAAGAATAAAATATTTCTACATTGTTGTAATTTTAACTAAAAGAAACTGTACACGATTATCATTTTGTAAAATAAATTCAAACTTTATATATAAATCGCCAATTGCTAGTTTTTATTATACTTTGTTTATATAATTGTTTATATAATGGAATAAATTTAGAAACATTTAAAATTAACTTAAAATGTTTATAATAGAATTATAAATATCTATAAGAAATTTAAGAAAAATCTTAACTAATGATGCATGAATGTACCATAATTAGTATATTGTAATCTTTCATAAATTCCAAAATAATTGCATGCATTTACATTGATAATTTAAGTTATAAATGATTAAAGTCCTTTACAAAAATTGAAATATTTATTCAATGTTTCTTGATTATTCAATTTTTAATAAACTAAAATATAAGTAAGCAAATTATATCCCTAAAGAAATATTAAGCAATACAAATTTGTTTACCGGAGTCTCGTAAACACTAAGAACATCCTCACCCATGTAAGCAACATACTTGTCGTTGTGAGACCAGCGAAAAATAGGCCAAACATTAGGTCCATCTGGTTGAAAAGATCTCTTTTCTTGACCTGTGAGTATGTCCCACATAACTAAACGCTTGTCTGTACCCTCACTGCGAGGTGAGTATGTAACTAAGTAACGTTCACATGGAGAGAAGTCAATACACTCAACACCTCGTTGGATGAACTTCACCTGCTGAGGAAATTGTGGACCCCCCCATAGGGCTACTCCCAGTTTGTGGAAGGTGGCCAAATATGTTCCCAATGGTGACCATTTTACATAAGTGTCGGTCCAACGCTGTTAATTGATATGTTAATAGATTTGTGTACAAAGTAATAGAATATCAATTAATATTGTAATTTTAGTAATAGTTATATTTTTCAGCACTTAAAATTTTTTACTATATAAATGGAGATTTTAATCTATTTAAGCTTTACAATAGGCTTTAAATGGGACAACATAAACAAATAAAAATCTTACAAAGTATACAATTTTCTATTTTAAATGAATAATCAACAATTTATTTTTATTGATTAATAAATTATAAACTTGTAATAATATACAATTTGAACATGAACATAATATTTTGAAAGAGGTGTTTCTGTGAAACAGATGTATTGACATAATTTTATTTTTTTTATTTTATACAAAGTATATCTATACTTGCATAAAATTAAAATTTTATATATACATATATATGACTTATGGAATTATACTTACAGGACGATCCTCGACAACAACACAATCTGGTGCACAATTCTGCCATATCTGAACACTAGTGGATCCTACATTACCAGAAACAATGCAGAATTGGTCGTACGCATCTGGATCCAATAAATAATTGTGCAAATCTGTTGCCGCTTTAAATGGCTGAGATTTTGGTGGTTCCCAATCTTCTGGAATATTCTCGAATTTTTTAAAATCAGTAAAGAGATTTACCTTAAAAGTATGAATCTTATCGATTTTGTAATTATTTGCTTGCTTCACTGCATTTAAAGCACTTGTTGGATTGCTGTACTCAAAAAAAACATATCTGAAAATGAAATTTTATCATTAGGCTTGAACTTGGTTTATATATAAATATAAAATTGATAATTATTTTTTATCAACCCTTTAGTCATTCCATTTTCATCTTGAGGATAATACTTATTAACTATTGCCCCAAATTTTCCATAAATTTTTTCAATTACAGACTGTAGTTTTTCTAATCGTTTTGGTTCTACAATTGGTACTCCATCTATGACAATTACAGATTCTACACCATCTGTTTCAGAAGGTTTTTGTTCTATTATGTCATCCAAGAGTTCTGTAATAAAAATAATTCATTCGTTTATTAAAAAATCAAATATAATATAATAGTATGCCTACAAATATACAATAGATCGTCTAATTGAACTAGTATTACATTTAATGAACAATAACTTTCTATTTATTTCTCTACCATTCGTAAAAGTCCATTGTGAGAAAAATTTTATATACTGAACCGATTTAATTAGCACTACTATAGGTTAGAACATAACCTTCAAACGCCGACTAAGTCTATAAACATAAACATGCTTATCCGTTAGATTCCCGTCTCCCATTGCGATCATTAAAATAATTGCGTTCATCCAATACGTAAACATATCCAAATAAATTTACACTCTTTATAATTGTCTGAAGTATATGCATTGTTTGTAGGCACAAGTCCATGCGGCTCAAGGACCTTCTGTCAATGCAGTAACAAAATGCATTACGTAGTCTCTCACCATCGTCCTCAATATCATCGACAAAGTCCTCGGGATCGCTGAAATTCGGCTCCTCGTTACCGTTGCTCATCTCATCGCTCGTCTTACCAGGATCCTCATTTTGCGGAGCTTTATCGGACGAAGATTTCTTCGCCATCTTGAAGCACCTCCGCGAAAAGGAAATAGAACACAAGCAGAATGTCTACGCGGCAAGATAACTGAAATCATGTACAACCGGCACCAATCCAGAGTGTTAACACTTACGCGTTTTTATAACGGCCGATAACGAGAATAGAGGGCATATTTCTGACGAATAACAGCGTCATCTGGTAGTGAAAACTTGGAAGTAATTATTTTAAATAATCCAAGATTTAAATTATCCAGTCCATGGTATTGGTATATCAAATTTAGTGTTGGCCGGCGATTTTACATTGTGAGGATGTAATATTTTTTCAAAATATTTACTTTTGTATTTTATAAACATTCATTAGCAAAATAGCTGAAATAAATTGATCATCACGACTAAAAATACCTGAAAATCAACGGCTTAAGATAATAAATATTACTTTAATTTCGTACTCTATTTGAATATAATTCTGCAGTGACGAATTCGTAAATCCCTTTAATTTCTTTATAATCTACATTTAGATAAAAAGAAAATGTTTTAAAAATAAATTGGCTTCATATATTTAAGCACTGTATACGATAGTTAAATATATATATATATATATATAGTAATTAATATATATAGTTCCTTTTTATCATATGAGCTATTTTAACACGTTAGTATATTATATCTCACTCAGTGCGAATACGTAAAAATTAAGTAAAACAAATAATGGTATTTATGTAAATATATAGATTGAATAGTTTATCTAAATCATATAAGAAAAAGCAATTTTTATTTGAAAATATAAATTATTCATATGATTGTGTCTAATTGCTAATGATTGTTCATTAATTGAGTGATAATTAAAACACTTCTTATTAAATAATTAAATTTATAATGTAATGTACTTTCAACTGCAGATACTAAGTCTTAAAAGTCTGGCCGATCTTATGTTTTTTTGTCTTTATGAAGTTGCTTTATTCACTAAATTAATGACATGTAATTTTATTCAATACTTTTACATAATGAAACTTTTATCCAATGCAATACTACAACTATTTTGAGATTCTATTCTAAATAATTGTAGAGTAGATTAAAAATATTTTTCTTTAATTTATATTTCAAAATCAGAGCCCCTAAATTAATTAAATTTGAGATAATATTAATTTATTCAACTAGCAATTGAATGTCTGTTTTCAAAATATATTTTTTCTTTACAAATTTACAAACATTCAATTAAAATAATATAATTTATGATCAGACAATTAACAAATTATATTAAACAACATACTACTCTAAGTACGTTACTTAAATTTAGGTTTCTTAGATTAATTTAATTTTTTGTAAATAAAAACTATTGAATTTGCATGTTATTCCTTAAGAGTCATTTGATAATACCAATTAATAAACCAGACTTAAATAGAAATATTTTAACCTTTTCGCATTTTCTTTTTGACTGTTTTGTTTCATTTTCAAATTTTTTGTCATTCACTTTTTTAATATGGTTGGTAAAAATTTTACTTTCAGAAATTTTTTCATTAACATAACGTAAAATGAAGTCTATCGATAAGAAAACAAAATCTCAAAAGTCTGACGACAGGGTTTCAGGTACAAGTTTTTATTTAATTACAAATATTGAAAATAATTATCGCAATATATAATAAAGTTTGTATTCACAGTGCCGGTATCGAAAGCCTCATTTTCTCAAAATTCCCGAAGCAAAAATAGATTAAGCGCCGTTTATTTTGGAAATGTTCCAAGAACAAGTCAGGCATGGAGAAAAAGCATTAAAAATGGATTCAAAGTAACATAATTAATATTTATAAATATTTTTTCTATAGTTATTTTAATTATACGAATAATTAGTTCAGTGAATGAATATATAATTTATATGCATACATCATGTATACATAAATTAGTTTCCTGTGAACGATTTTATTACATGCTTTAAAATAATGACGAGTTTCAAAATCAAAGTAATTAATAATAACATTAATAATAACATTACTAATAATGAAATATTATAAACATTATGATAATATATTATCACGTATTATAATATTAATTAGATTTTATAATATAAAATAGTTACTTTTGAATTAGTTTTATGTTACACAAATTTTTAGAGATTGATTAATTGTAATTTCATTCAACCTGTAATTATTATTTCGCGATTTTGATTTTTCCAATATTATTTTATTATTCCAATACATATTTTTTACCTTTTTACCGGATTACCGGAAACAAATCATAAATGAAGCCCAATCAAACATTTTTGTAAAATTATACAAATACAAATTCAATATACATTTTAAATAATTTATTCTGTCAATTGTTATAATTTATGCATATTATATGTGTACTACGAAATAAATTTGTACGTATTATTTTTAAAACAAAACTGAAAAACTTCAAAAAATACATATAGTATATCATAGTAGCGAAGTTAATATGTATTTAGAAAATCTACACAAAAATTATGTAAAATAGTGAAATACTTAATATAGATGGCAAAGTGATAACGAAGTCGAAAGGTTTGATAATAAGTAATTCGAAGAGAGTCATTGATAAATAAATAGTAAGAGATGCAGGCGAGCTTAATATTAAAAGTAAATTCATAGAAATTGCGACTTTGCTTACAAGAAAAGAGTATTTATTGCCTTTCAAAACACTGATTAATAATTGAAAAATTTTAATAATCGAATTTGATAATCGAAGCTCCACATAATTGTTTTTAAGCAAAATTACTAACAAAATTAAAAGAAAGTTATAATAATAAGACATATTTGAAACATAAATGTTAACTCCATTTGCTTTCAAACTACTGTTCATTACAAAATAAAATCTGAAAGCTATGTAATAACGTTAGATATGTTTTATTAAAAACAAAGGTACCAATGTACCAAAATAGTTACTGGCTCGATCCGTATTTACCATTTCGGTATGAGGTTTCCGATAAAATTCTTAAGCAAGTTATGACCAATAGACTGAAAGAAGAAGAGTATTCGGAATATACAGTAAATCTAAGCCGGAGTATAGCTGCAGAGATACACGATCAACTATATAGAACTGACTATGACCGGTAAAGTATACGGCATTTTTTTGCACTGACCCTTGGAAGTATATTATAGAATCAGATTAAAAATTACAGTTGCTACTGATTTAATGATTTTGAAAGACTATGCTTTCGTGAAATGCAATGTATGAAATATATTATTGGTTTTGTTAAATGTTGAATTTTTATTACAATAAAATCTGTAAATAAAGATGTAAAAAAATAGTGAAATGTACCCTTAAGAATTATTAATTTGTATATTTTTATTAAATAAATTATAAAAAGTAAAATTTTATTGGTGTTTATAATATGTTTTGAAAATTTACAATAGATAAATAAATGAATAAATGTCAAGTCAATTAATTGAATTAACAAATATTCCATGTGCTTGATTTTATTCAGTTAAAACCATTATTTCCTAAAAGCTACTACTGAACGTACATATAGGCTTCTTAATTTATATATAATACATTAAAATAGATTTAAAAATAGTTGGTCTCAATATAACTACTTTGTGCACAGTTGTGTATAATACATTCAAAATACACAATTCATTTTATAAATATTTAAAAAGGAACCAATATTTCCCTTAAAATGAGTAAAGGCAAAAATAATTCTTCATAAAAATTTCTATATTCTTTTTCAGAGTCAAATACGTGGTGATTATAACTATTATTGAGAATACAGATCAATCATTTTCCTCCGTAAATGGCAGATTATGGGATGCTCAAAGAGATACTTACTCTGTCTTCATTTACGATAGACCCACTTTTTATGCTATTGGTTTAGTCTTCGCTATGTATTATGAGTAAATATTTTATAAAGAGAAACATATGTATCTGAAATTATTTCCAAATCTCAAATTTGATAATTTCAATTTCTTTTACTTATACTATTTTTGTTATATTATTGTTAAATATATATTAATTTTATTTAATTATAAATAAATATGTTAGGCGTATTTTTTAGTTTATTTAATGTATGCAAACAAAATTAATAACGATTTCTTTACTGAAAAGAATTATTTTCTTTATTTTTTATTCAATATTTACAGATAGAAAACATGATATCAGAACAGATTATGAAAAGTTTAATTATGAAAAGGTTAATTTGAACAGAGGAATATTGTATAAAAATAAAAAATAGTAATAGAATTATATCACAAATGGTATTAACACTATACAAAAACGAAAACTATGAAAACTAAATTGATTAAAATAAATTTGTAATTAAGAAATATAAAAAATTGTTAAACACAAAATTTTATATCAAATTTTTTATTGTTTACATGCACATAATTGTTATACGATAGAAAAATTAATAACCACGCAATTTTTATAAAGGTATTGTTAATAAATACACAATTTCCATTTTTTATTATTAACTGAATATATTATATTATATATATGCATACGCACATGCACATACACGCATATATATGAAAGCATGCATGAGTAATGTATATGCTGATGGGTGCATGTGGTTATGAACATGCGTATGCGCAAACGCGCGCGCATGGTGTGAAGATGCGTATCTATATACATATATTTGCATATGCATACGACTGTGAAGTACAATGTATCGTTATGATTAGGTAATGATAACCATAGTCGAAGACCTTATTTCCAATTATTATTAAAATTATATCAGTAAATTTTTATTAATTATATGAACTGTACTTTAATTGTAAACATTTTTAATCCATCGCTATTACGTCATTATTTTTTAACTTTAATTAAGCGTTATATATATAGTACTTTTTGTGTTGTCTTATACAAGGATACAGAAAAATAATACCTTGCAAACGCAATGGAATATTCTTTATATATTAAAGCCAAATATTTTAAACTATTATTATTGACAATTTTCTCGCGATTTACATAATTCTTTTTTTGCGCTATTGCAAATAAATTTTTCATTATATATATTTGCTCACGTACCGATCTACTGATAAAACCACAACAACCTAAAGGCCGCTCGAATATGTAACGATTATATTTTTCATAAAATTTTTTCTCCAATTAATCAAAAGATCGATTTCCAACTGTTATAGGAATATTACATAATGCCAATATTTGTCACATTTATACATTTATAATGCTCAAAATAAAAATTTAGTTTCTTTCGTATTAAGAATATTTAGATTTTTTAGAAATTATAATATTCATTTATATAAAATCGTATTATTTCACATTCAATTGAAAAAGATTTTTAAATAGAAAGACTTTTTCATATATTCTGAAAATTATTTTTCTACGCATTAATACATTAATTTATTCTATATGTAAAATATACATTTTTGTGGATACTTAGAATTTCAGATAAAAATTACAATATTTTTCAAAGTAAAAAGTTTTATTTTATAATTAATTTTTACGCTAATTATTATATGGGTACATTTCAATTTTAATTTAAAATCAAACTTGTATATAATAATTTGCTTATTTGCTTAATTATATGCTTTATAATTTTTTAATGTACACAGAAAATTTTTATATAAAGTAAGATAATTAAAAATAACAAAATCTTAAAAATATTAGAATGATTACGTTTCTTATATTATTATATACAATCGTATGAAAGAATTGTACGAAATAATTTGAAAGTAAATAGTTTAAGCACGTATGATATAACTCGAGTTTTCATTAGGTTTATGGCAAGACATTTTAAATGTTAATTAATAAAAAGAAACGAAATATAAGAAAATTGTATGGGTTCTAAAATTTTAAATATGCTTAAGAATTGACCCATAGAAAATAACATAATAAATATAAATTTATTTCTAAGTTTGATATCTGTTACACATCGACCAGTTATAATACATTACACAACTTTTTCTCAAAATTCTTAAACGTTACAATTAATAATATGTTATTATTATACACGATTCTAATCAAATCTAGATCAATGTATCACCACTGATACAAATAAAGCATCAGTTTCGATTATTATTTCATTATCTCCTTATATTATCGGTTTTTGACGTTCGAGTTTCCAACTCTCGGCTATATTTTTCACTTGGTCCATTTTTTGACGGTTTGTATGTACAAGAATGAGTGCAACCTCAATATGGTACATGAGCGACTTAGGCGCCTTTAAAAAATTTATTGATAATTTGTTATTTTACTGCAACTTAAAACGCTCATGGACTGAATAAACAAACAAAAATACGTAAAATGAAAATCTTGAATATTCCATGTCGTTGCAATTGGTATGGATATATCAAAGATACTCAATTATTTATTCAATCCAGCGTCACTACTTTTATTTTAGCCATTTTTTTTATAGCAAATCACTTATTTTAAACGCCATATTTCAAACATCTTACATACATAATTTTTATATTCATGTATGTGACACATTTACAATAAATAACAATTCTTTATCCGCTGACCGTCAAAATTTCTGAGAATCGTCATCCCTTTGCATCACATTTATAGATCGGCGTTTTATGTTTGTAATTACAATTGAAAAATTCCTCGCAAATTCTCTTCATAGAGGCTTTTTTCGAAGCATTTGTTCTATCACATAAACGCATTCGTAATGCACTAATGATTCTTTTCATAAATTTTCTTCCTTGTATTTTAATTTGGTTTGTTCGATCAGAATATACAGCGGCTATTGCATAATATTTTCATTTTATTTTTCGTGAATGAATTAAAATTTCTGCAAATATTATTTTACTTATAAGATATAAACATAAAATTAATCTCGCTTAAATGAAGTTTCTTCATTTGAATTTTATAATATTAAATTATGATATAATAACGTATTTTTCATTCACGAAATGTTAAAATGACGTAAAGTCGATTAAGAACAAATAAATCATTATTTTATTATAATTGATTAATTAAAATATTAATAATGATAATAATAATAACATCAATAATCTTAAGAAATTAAATTTTGTAGTGCTTTAATAAATTTTCCAGTGTGTATATTATTATGAATATTATTTATTAAAATAAAATACAAATTAACATTAAAATAGACATAATACAATATAAATTAAAATAGGAATACAATAATATATAAAGTACTTAATATAAAGAATATTTCATTATTTATTAAGTAATATTATTTTATAGAATGAATGATTTTGTTTCATAAATAGATAATCAATTTCACGTTTGTGCGATTTATAGCACCTGGTTTAGAGTACATCTCCAGTGAATAAATTCAACACAATAATAAATAGTGTGTATACGTATATATATAACGATCGTTTTATAAGAAAATGATTTTATTTCATGATTATAATTAAAATCAAGTTTATATCGTGAATTAAAACATTTCCATTAGTTTAATGAATTTCTGTAATACATAGACTAATGTTGCCATATTCCGCTGCATTAAATTAATTACTTCTGATTTCACAGGATTTGAATCCTGATCCGTAAAATGGCTCGGAAAAGAATATTTCACCAAATTGCACAGTTTATAAGAAACGAATAAGAAAAATTTGAATGAATTATTCAACATTTAGACAAATACCAATAGAAAGAATTATACTTCGTTTCGATATAGAAGTCATTTTTATTACTTTCGTTTCAAGGCTCTATCAATATAATTTTTCATGAACTTTATATATTTTGTTATAATTTTGCATTGTATCGTAACAATACGCTCTTGTGAACACGAGTGTTTTGGTGTATATGTATGTTCATATGTATGCACGTATAATAGCACAAGTGCCTATATATATGTATTTGTAGGCAAATGTGTATGAACACATACACTTATTATTCAAAAGATTCAATACCAATGTATAAATAAGCGGATGTCTATCTGAATTTTAATTTTTTCTATATTATACTTCATTCTACTTATTATATATTCTAGTCTAAAAAGTCAACCATTCAAGGTACCTTCGCAAAATAAAACAAAAATAATCCATTCCGAGCAAATTTTACGAATTCGAACGATGGACCACAGCCAACATGATCAGTTTAACAATGACGGTTCAAAGAGTAGAAACGCTATAGAATTTGCTTCGAACAGCTTTTTGTGGCACAATTGATTCCTTTCACACCCTGTCATTTACTCCGCCGACTGTTTCGAGTACTTATAATTTCAATCTCGTAGCATGTACGTAAATGTGTATGAAACAATTGACACAATCGACGAAGTAATTTATGCACCATTCGGAATTATTTACGCATAATAATAGCTCTTAGGTTTTATTTTTTACCTTTTTTTATAACAAAATACACATTCACGACATTACAGTATGATTATTTTTCATTTTGTTTTCATTAATGGATATTCTTAAACGACTTTGCATATGCCTTATGTATTTGTGTGTGTTTCATGTTGTGTCTGTGCGTGATAACCTACGAATTGCTAATATCATTCTTTTTCTTTATTATTTGTTTATTCTTCATAATGTATTGAAATTTAAATTTTTATCTTTTATGTACAATCACAAAAAAATGATTAAGAGTTCTGCTATTTATAGTGTATAATTTGTTACTCATAGGTCATGCAGTTATCTGATAATTCTACTTTCTCTCTCTCTCTCTCTCTCTCTCTCTATATATATATATATATATATATATATATATACTGTCTATCCATCTATCGATTGATCTATCTATCTATCTATCCATCTCTCGTAATCCATAAGTTCGTAAAAAATGCTCAATCGAGATCACCTCATACTTAAATTGTTAAACTTTTCAGTGGAGCCTTCGCACTTTCCTCATTGTACAGTTTTCATGTGTTTTTTCTTCTCTTACTTAATTTCTATTCTTCCATGGTTCTCTTATTTTCTGATCTAGTTTACAAGAAATTTGTTCGGAAAAATTCATTCTTTTCGGAAAAATTATTTCTTTATATGACAATCTTATTAAAAATTATTCTTATATGTATAATTAATTATATAGTATATAATTTTATACTATTTTATATATTTGTATAGATTTATATACATCTTTGTTAAACAATAATCCGCATGTTATTCCTTTCTTCCTTTATTTTTATTCACTATTTTACTTATATATTTACAGAATTTTTTTGTATTTATCTATTTTATTTAGTCTCGTTTCAATTCAAATATTCGAAAGACTTTCGTTTACTTATCGTGTTCTATTTTAAAATTATTTTAAGATTTTCTAAAGTTATCTATTAATATCGTCGGAGGCAGTTATTACTTCACAGAATTAAAACCATTTTTCATAAGTGATGTGATTGAGTATTTAAGAAATATTTACATTCCTTTGGACATTACATTGGACATTATGAATTAATTTTTAAAGTAATTCCTTTTCTCTATCTCATTGAGTCGATAAGATTTTGATTAAGGCATTCTATCTGTCAAGTATTGACAAATGTCTTCCGTTGTTTTTTCAATATTTTTGCTCTTCAATCCTTATTGGTTAGCTTACAATGATTTAAATTGGCAGTAGTTTTATAATAAAAGTCAAAAAGAGGACTTTTAAGTCGGACAATTAAGACCCTTTCCAAGTCTGTATAAATCTTTCTAGCAATAATTGGGGGTCAAAGTTGTTTTATGATTTCTCTAGTTGTACAACTGCTCAAAATACTTATTTTGAAGTTACATTAGGTGTGAAATAAGCCAACATATTTATATTATACATGTAATTAATTTTTTAAATAATCAAGGGACGTCTATCTTCAATTTTTTTTTAAAACTTTTTTTTAAAAAAATTAAAATTTAAATTTAAATTATTCAATTGTCACGCAGTTTTAAATTAAGAAATAATTCTATTCAGCTTTTGCTTTCTAAAATAAATAGGATTCTAGAAATTATTATATTAAACATATTACTTTGCAAACTTATAATCTCTGTAATATACCGTTAAAGGTACAACATATTACAACGGTTTGAACTGTAAATATTCATATACGATTTTTCATAGCTATTAAAGACATTTATATTTGAAATTTGAAGGTTTGAAATTAAGCTACATTGTCTAGAAAAACTAATTTTAAAAACGTAAGTATCAAGTACAATAAATCTTAGATATTTCTCGATAAAAATCTAAGTTTTTGTTCAATTTCTCGCCATATTTAAACGTAACTGTATTACAAATAAATTATAAAAAAATATAATAAAGATCGTATGACTCTAGTCTCTTAATCACAATGTTTGAAGATCGAAATGTATAATACTTATCGATTCTAAATCACTAAATATCAGTTGCCTCATCGCGCTTAAGGGAATAGGGCTAAAGTAGGAAATTGCGACGAATCTGGTAATTGTTAGCCATTGAAAAAACAAGTTTTTCTTCAAACTGTATCATCCACAGCATTCTTTCTGAAGGACCGTGTTCCCCTTATTCAGTGGAGTCAAGGCTTGTGAGTAATCAAAAGCATAAATGTCGTGATATTGCCGCGAGCTGGACAAGCCAGGAGGGTACGTCGCTGCTCAAGGGCCCGGCGAGAAATACGACGGCGAGCATGTAGTGACGAGCGTAGATAAGTCCGGGGCCGAACGGCTGCACAGCGCGCTCGACCGGTGGCCGCGGCCCCGTGTGTCATACCGGCTCCTCCCTCTTGAAGTTAATATTTTGCGAGGCGCAAAAGTCCCGAGTGAAGGGCACACAGTTAAATAGCTTGCAGAGTTCGCACTCGTAAGTAGGGGCATGGTAGAAAAGTGCGAGCAGCAGCCCAAAGAGGGCGACGATCAGGATTAGGGAGATCCAGATGATGAAAATTTTGCGACGACGATCGTAGTGACCGAACGAGATGAAGGGCATGAACGCGTAGGCGGCCAGGAAGCCGAATATGAAACCAAACAGGTGGGCGTAGTTATCAACCCAGGGTAGGACACCGAGCAGCAGCAGCCCGACCAGTATTAAAATGAGTTTAATTAGAGCTCGACGTGGATACTTTAGCATTGGCCAGCAGTGCAGCACCTCGACCACTAACGTCGCCAGCAAGGCGAAATGGGCACCAGCAGGCCCGACCTGAGGGAAAATTCGATATGCCACTTATCCCTTAGTCCAGTGAAGCAAAGTAAATCAAAGTAAACTTGAATTCCATAATAAATAAAATCAAGTGCTGAGACTGGAAGAAGCGTATTTACATACCTCTGCTCGGTATGGGATGAAAATAGCGCTGGCGAGATTTCCTGCCAAGGCTCCAGTGAAGTAAATAAGAGCAATACGCACCGATCCTGTCAGCTTCTCCAAATCCCTCATCAGAAAGTATTGAATAAATAATGTGATGATGATGTGAAGAATCCTGAAATTTGATCATTTTGGTTTTTAAATTTGATTATTTATGATTTTATAATTATTACCACTTTGTGACTCGATGTGTAAATGGAAAATAAATGCAAAGTATTGTTCGCCGTTGAGTTTTATTAGTATCCTTAATGAAGCATTTCGTAAAGTGCAATTTGGTACAATTGACTACCATAAAATGAAAATATAATAGGCTTTGACTTAATTTAAATCAATGAACATCCTCACTGCAAAATATTTTCAAAAGTCAACTAAAGACAAAAGATGCATCTAATTTTAAATTTCTAGGTGACTTTAAAAGCTTATGTAGCTTTGAGATCGAACATTTTTCTTACCCAGCGTGGAGGAAGGTAGTGGTGAATAGCCGGTAGAATTGATCGGGCCATTCGGGGTTAAGGAATGGTATCATGCCGCATACGTCGTGGAGACATTCGATCTGCGAGCAGAGCGAGGCTTCCTCATGGAAGTAACCGTGAACAAAGTCGCAATACTCCTTAGTGGTGATGCGACAGGTACCGTGTATGCCAATGCAACATGGGTGGCCGATTACTTCGCACACCATGTGTTCCGCCATTTTGTCCTTGTAACGGCTCACGGGGAAGTTGGCGTTGCCATGGAGATTTTGTTCTTTGCCTCTAATAATTATGAACGATAAGCATCGCTTAAGCAAAAGGTGAAATTTAGTTTAAATTTTTCATTTATAATGATGCATTTAACAATTACCCAAAATTATTCAAAATTATTATTAGTTCTAGAATAGCGTAGATTGTAATTAATATACAAACTATACTTGGGGATGTATTTTGATATACTTGTACTTTGTTGGGAGCTGATCGCAGAGTTCCAATTTACATACCCATGTGTTATTTATATTAGAGAAATCATCTGAATTAAATGCACGTATAGATTTAATTTGTTAACTAAGTAAAAGAGAAATTAATTTATCAAAATATTTATATTTATTTACATTGTCAAATTTCATTGTTTTATAATAACTAAATTAAAACTAGTCCAATATAAATTATCATTAATATTCGATCGTTCTCAAACAACATATGAAATCTAGTATAGAATTTTCATTTTCTTACTTATTCTGAAGCAACTTTAAATAATAATTTATGAGATAGATCGACACGAATAAATTATTGATAAACATTTATACGGTAATTTCATGTAAAAAAAAAAGAAAAGAGAAAAGTCAAATTCAATTTTATTTTGTAATATTAGTATAACTTTGGATGAAATTTTTCAATTATTCGAAATATCATTAATCGAAATATTCATAAAATAAAAAGAATATGTATAAGAATTATATTAATTAGCTGCTATCTCGTAGATTGTTAAGATATGAAAACAGATTCATGCGTTCCAGGAAACGTTGAATTACGTGCAACTTACCGAAAACGTTGGCTAAAAGGATTTATCTTTCGACATATTGGCCACTTAGTGATGTCATCGGGCCACTCGTAAGGTGCGATGCTCGCGGGTGCGTCGCAAAACTTGGGATCGAGGCCACAGACGGAACCGCTGATGCGACCCCCGGGTCCGCTATCTGCCGGTCCCCACTTCTTCCATGTTGATATCGTATTCTAAATAATTACGTAAAAATTATTAAAGACTATAAATCATGGTGTTATATAATAAGCATTATATGGACAGAATTATATTGCAATTAAGGCTTACGTGAAGCAACTACGTACTCGTAAAGTAATAAGCGAATCGATAATATATGGTTACTACAAGCAAACGTGCTGATCTTACTTCTAAATGAAATGTTACTCCACAATAATAATTTATTTGAGGCTAATAGGATACAAATGAATAAATTTTCAATATTTTCGAAAAGGCTTTTGCACTGTTTTTATAGTCCAGCATTTTTTAATTTGTATTGAAAGTAGTTTCCTTTGGAAAATCACAAATTAAATTCAATCTTTTACAGGCTGAAGTTTTATTTAATTTTATATTTGATCAAATAGACGTCAATAGATTACGAGCCTTTACGAATTTAGATTATTACGGTAAATTCCTATTTTTAAAGTTGAAGTTAGTGCCTTTAATATATATATAGTAAAATTTCATTTCAAGTAAATAGACAATTGCAAATATGATGTAAAATATTTTTCTGAATATATTACGACATCGAAGATAAAACAAAAATAATAAAAATGTAATTATTACAAACATGCTTCCTTCGAATATTTTTATTACCGTAGATGTGGAGCTCATCCCTCGGACCAGTTGGTTTTTAAAAGAAAAAATATATTATCAGATAAAATATAAGAAATGTTGATGTTTCAAGGGATCGAAGATCCAAGCGTAGCATTAAACATACAATTTTGACAAATTTATAAATATTTCGGAATGCACGGTTCATAAGAGATGATGAAACTTTATATTATACATCTCAAATCGCTTAAAATAAAAATTGAATATCTTATCATTTATTCAGTCGTTAATTTATTAAAAAATGTTGTTCCCTGCACGTCGACTATATGCAAGGAAATCGATGTAAGAAATTCTCGACATTTGTAATACTCCTCGAAAAGACAAATCTCTGTAAAAATTATGCAACCCTTTTCGAAAGTAATAACAAACTGAGGAACTCGTTCATACGTATATTAAATAATACAGTATTTTATTAATAATTATATACCACTTTACGCCCGTTGTGCAAAATTTAAGAAAAGATGTTGCCGTTGATTCGTCGTCATGTTTTCTTCGAGTAGTATAAAAACGTAGATAAATCTCTCCATTCATTTAAATTCACATTATCATTTGCGAAAGGGCAGGGGTCAAAAACAGCTGAGAAAGTAGGGCAGAAATCACTTACTGAGCAATCGGCTCTACTTGACTGCACACAGCCAGAGTCGTCATTTCTTATACAGCACGCTGTGTCACGTTCCTTTTCCCGCCACATGTCGATCTCCTTCAGGATCTTTATGTCCCTCCGCATGCAAGGGGCGAACTTTGCACCTAAATGTATAAGGTCGGAGGCTCGTGGTCCCAGCCAGAAGTTCGCCGGCTCCTGATACTCGACTTGCTGTAGGGAGAGACTCGTCACCAGAACCTACGTAAATTTGTTCGTATGGTAAATTTATCACTTTGGAAAATACCTCTTGACCTAGACTTTTAATTGCTCCTGCACTTTCACGATATTTTATAATCCAATATAGTTAATGAATTTAAATTAATCGGCTTCAGGTAAATTTCGCATTTTTAATCTGAAATTATATTTACTCGGTGTCGTGAAATAAATCGTTCAAGCACGAATAAATCAAAGCACCCGATGCACAGAAATGAAAATTAATTCGCATACGCAAATGAATTAAATTCCGAGATTAACAAAATAAGTAACGAGACAACACCCGAAAAAATTCTATTTCAAACAAATGCTTCCATATGATTGAACTAAAATAAACTTTTATGATATATGTTTCAATTTTTACACATTTAAATGTTTATTTAAAAGTCAAAACGATTTACCTTGTTATAAGTGGTTTTTATATTCTTTCTAATTATTTTGAAATTATTAACTTAATGAATACTAATATACAAATACTTATATAAACTTTGTCGAAATTTTACTACTGTCGAAATACCATAAAATTGTAAATTGAATTTTATTTGTTGATTTTATAGCGATGTGTTAATTTTCAATAAAAGTTTCTTTTAAAAAATGAAAACAAACTTTTTATTTTTATTTTATAGTTTTTATAATACATTAATTATTATGAGAGAAATTTCAAAAAATAATTAAATAAAAAAAAGAAAGAGTTAAATTAGCTAACCAAACTTGATCTGTGATGGAGATCAAGCCCAACAGGTCCAAATCCATAACACGCTAGTGAAATGATAAGAATGAGTATTTGTACAGTTGTAATCCAGTATGTAAAGTACGGTCGATGATCCTCAAAGTCATCCAGTTGTTTTCTTACATCCGGTTTTTGAGCAACGCTTTTACGAAATGATCTATAAAAACAGTTTAAGTTTTACACAAAGCTTTTACGTATTTTCATAAATGTCAGTACATAAATTTTGTATTATTTTCATTTCTGAAACATATATTTAAAAATATTTTATACATTAATTATTTAGTACACATTTTGGATTCCGGATATTTAATATTGTCTAGAATTTAACTAAACTCCCAGATGTTCGGTGGGAGGATTGCTGGTAAGTGGAAGGGTAAGCGTATTTGTTCAATAATTAAATACATTTGCTTATTGTGTTGTTTATTGACCTTTATTTTACAGACTACACAATATATATATATATATATATATATATATGATACTAAGATGATATTGAGAATTTGTGAGATCTTGCAGTTTAATGGTAGTTGCCACGTGGCGTTGGCATTCACTAAATGCAGCGGTAAGAGGTTGTAAATCTCCTGATCCTCTGACCTAATGTGCTTAGAGGTAAATTGTTACTCTGAAAGTAAGACATTATAAATTTCTGGTACTTCTTCATATAATGGCACGTGATGATAACGTGTTGAAATAGATGCCCAAAGGCAAGGTGCCTGTCGCATAATTAGATGCCCTTTGGCTAAATGATTTTACTCACAGAGATTCACTTGCCTGGCCGGATCCTGTAATCAGCGCGCGGATATTGAGCTTCTTATAGTCGTGTTGATCTTATTATACAACTAGCACTCTTGAGTGCTTGAATTATAGTGCACTTGAACAATTAAAAAATAAGATGGCTTCACTGTAGTGGCTTACTAGTTTATCGCTGCAGAATCTGCTTGAATTATGAACGTATACTGAGTATAACTGACTGACTGGTATATGGCGGAATGTGGTTGCTGTATAGAGTGATAACTGATAACTAATTGATTGAGAAACTTAAAGTAGCCTACAAGCCTGTTAAATACGCGCACGAAAACTGAAGACTTGTTCCTTCCGTGGCGGCTCTGCTGTTATATATCTACTGTTCCATGGCGGTCCTGCTAAGGTAGACCGTGATCCATGCCATGGTGTCTTTACTAAGGCAGGTTCATTGAGAGAGAGCGTGGTTCGTTGCGTGCTTCCTTTAAGTATTCGTGCGTCAGCTTACTTAGCTGGCAACAATGCATAGGTGTTGCTATGCCCAAAGTCTTGATGACGTCAGAGACTAAGCTCTAGAAAATTCTAGGATTCCAGAAAGACAAAATTCCAGAAACAAGGCGGAAATATAGGACAGTCGAAAATAAGAAGTAGAATATTCCAAAATTCGTAGAATGGATGTTTACAAACATTAGCGTCAGAAAGCTTGTACTTTCCCTATTTTAAAGTTCTTGGAGATTGCTTCAATCCCGATCAACTATAAGTATTTAACTATATAGTCTTCACTGTACCACATCACAAATTAAAATGAACTATATTAAGAAATTTAATTCAAACATTGATTGATTAGTCTATTTTATAACGAAGATGTAATTAATAAGACTATTTATACTTATTATTTTACTTTAATTGTTGGACGAATTACAATGAAATGAAATCAGGATAACAAATTTTTTATCTGGTACAGTATTTTACGTATTTGTATCTAATTTAAACAAAGCATAAGCTTAGTATATCTATATGAACAAATGGGTATAATAGATGCGAATTTGTGTGTGTAAAAACTTCATTGCGTATGCACAATTTTTCTTTGCTATATGAAATTACAGAATATTTATTTAGATTTATTTTTAGAATTACTACATGATTGCAAAACAAAATAGAAATATTAGTTTAATCACAAACAAATGTAGCGTGTTGTAAAATAATGAAGAAATCAGAATATATTACAGTGAAAAAATAATGTTAGCACCAAAAAGAATAAATAAAAATGCAAATGAAGAAAGAATAATAAGGGAATGTGGATAAAATGACGCGTATAACAAAGACAACTTGCAACTTGAAAAACCAAGCAAACGACCGAAAAAAGATGTGAGAAGTGTAAAAACTAGGTCACATAAAAGTATTCAAAGACGTAGAAAAAATTCGTATGAAAGAAGGTGGAAAGTCAATTGTAGAATAAAACGTGATAAAAGGCTGAGTAACTAGAACTATAGTAAGCATATACAGCAGAAAATGGTTAATTCTATTTTATATTCGAAAAGTCAGCAATATACAAAAATATGAATGAAATATTCAATTAAGACCTATGTTTATCGTATTTATGTTAAATAATTTATGCGTTAATGAAATCTTAATTTTGTATTAAATGTTGATAAATATATGTATGATCACTAAATTACTTTGTATTCAGCAACTCGTCGTGTGCAACTGAAACATTAATGTAGTTTTCAACTATATCATTGCTTAGAAATTGTCTAAGAGTATATAAACATTGGAAAATAAAACTAAACTTTAAATATGAAAATCTAACATTCCTTTTCGAGCCTTTATCTAAGGTATAATATAGCTGTAGATAACTTTGAAAGATTTTCATACTATATGCTTCTTTAATTTGTAATAACATTAAATACTTTATGATTGAAAATAAACCTACAAGTTTTGGGGCGAAGGAAGTGCAGTTATTAACTGTCAGACAAGTGTAAAAAGATCTTACATTACAGACAGTAATTTCTTTATTTACTTTGAAAAGTTTCATGAATTTATTATCTACAGTATTAAGATTCAATCAATATTATTATACATACATTCATAATATAATTGAAAATTATTTATTTTTCCACAATTTAAAATATTCTTATATAAAAATTTTTTATATAAGAATTTATATATATTATATAAGAATATCTATTATAGCTATAAATGTATAATGTAAAATTATTTTTTTATCTAACATAGATTTATCCATATATATATATATATATATTGTTCGAGAATGTGAGAATACTCCCAGCTCATTAGACATCTGGAAAACGCGAGATAAGAGTTCCGGAAAAAGTAAACTCTTGATTATCTAAACAAAAACAATTCATAAACACATCCGGCGAGAATATGCGATCAAGAGTTTAACGAAACACGTCATAAAACATGCGGCGAGAACTTCGATGCGACCACGCCATAAAGTATCCATCGATTACAAGCCGTAATACTTCTGGCATAATCAACTCATAAAAATATAAGCAAAAACCATCTCGTCTGACATTGGAAAAAGGGATATTAAAGGCAACACTGCACGCATACGCTGATGTCAAACCCAGCTACATGTGGCTCGGATAGTGTAAGCGAGAACGCGCCAAAGAAGCCCCCCTCATAGTGGGGATGCAAGTAAGAAGCACTCTGATTGGAGCCGCCAATAATAAAAGAATCAATTCGATTGAAGACGCCCAAAAAGAGGCGCTCTGATTGGAAACGCCAAGAAGCAGAAAATTCTTAAGGGCCATGCGGTGGCCGAGAAAATGCCTTCAAGATAGACGCCAGCAAGGCGCACAGAGGAGTCTCTTGTCACCAGAGAAGCCGGCAAGGCTGCTTCTCCAAGGGAACGCTAAATAACAAGGATGTAGCATACACAAGTGAAGGCCGATTAAGAGACAAAGCCTAGTCATATCCAACTCATAACAAGTGCAAGATAAGTGCAAATCAAATCATACACTCGCAGCAGTGCAAGATAAGGAAAACGGAACAAGTAAACAGTGGTGCACAGAACACAACATAATCATAACCTATAAGGTGCCGCTCGAGGCAAATTCAGCAAACCATACGAGGTATAGCCAGAAAAACACAAAACATAAACTACAAGCTGCCGCACGAGGCACAACCTGCAGACATCACTAGCTGCGATCAAGAGCACAAAATCTGCAGAACTCACAAGGTAAAGAACTTTAGAGCGACCAAGCTCACATAATATGCAAACGCAAAAAGGGCAAGTTTAGTTCCCACAAGATAGACTTACGAGTCGCCGTACGCGGCAATATCTGCAGACTCAAGATGAGCCTTCAAGGTAAGCAATAAGACAATAACAATGCAAACTCAAGCTACTGCCACGTGCCACTACACAGGGAAGCACGGGTGTTTACGACCTTGTTCTTCTATGTATATAACTCCAACACCACGTGCATTACATATAGAGGACCAGAAAGTTACTACACCCTTCTACCTGTACATGAAACGCACATTATAGTTCTGTGGCAATACCAATACAAAACTCAAGAAACAAAGGCATTCAAGCATACACTAAAAATCATTAGAATACAAATAATGCAATTATCGCAATAAACTGCAACAAATACCAAATCTATTTATTATTGAATACATGCACTATCCTGTCCACTCGTCCGCAATCCTCCCTTCCACCATCTGGGAGTTTACACCTAACTTTAGATATTTGGCCCTCCTAGCCCGGTACTCTATTTTTAGACATATATATATCTATATGTTTGAAAATTCTATTTTTCATTGCATATATTTATGACTATAAAATTATGTAAATTTAATATTTAAATATCGAAGCAAAATATTTATAAAGCTATGATTTAATTTATTTTTTAAGAATATAAATATTCTAAAATATAAAAACAATTTATAAATATGAAAATGTAAGAATGATGTTAAATCGATCCATTTTTAAGGTTTAGTTAAAGAAGGTAAATAGAATATTAAGGTTCTAATATACAGATATTAAAGAATGTCAATTATAAATCTAATTTAAACTTCTCATATACCGAGGCAGCGTCAACGCAGTTATTATATTTTCCCTATATAATGTAGTTGGTGTAAGTCTAGATATGTTCATACGTATCGATGATGGCATAATAGTACAAGAACGGGGTAACGGATGGGAATTTCCATGAAGGAAATAGTAAGGTTGGAACTATAGTCTGACTTCCTGGTAATGGTAACAACTGGAGGAATCTCAGTCGATTTTGCCAAAATATAAAAAATGATGAAGGAATATTTAAGGATAATTCATTTTTCTCCGGCAAGAGGCCATACTTCGTTATCAACCAACTAAACAGTGAAATTTCATATTAAGCTTGACATTACTGATCTCATTCTTATTTTGAAATAAGATTAGATAAGAAAATGTTATAAATTAAAAAAAAATTGACCAATTTGAAGTAATATTTGATTTATAATAAAAAATGAATTTTATTTACAGCTTCTTATTCGAACATGTGTTGTAAATAAAGAGTTTTACGAATAAATATGTTTTATTGGTAACTTTAATGCCTTTAACAGTTTAAAAAATACGTAAAAAGTATGTCAAAAACATTATATATTTGTGACATATTTAAGGCAGGAACAAATTGTAGCCGCGAATTGTGAATACAAGAAACTTTTATATTAAAACCGTAAAAAAATTCTTGGCCATTTTATAGTCGACAATGAAGTTTACAATAACATTGATTTTTCAAAAATGAAAGTATAAACAACTTCTGGTTATTCCGACTAGCAAAGAAATCGAATAAAATTACGCATTTAAGAAGGCTGGTATATTGCACAAATAAAGAATTATAGGACTTATAAGTTTTAATTTAGCACTGGAAACTAAATGTCGATTCTCATATAGACATCAGATGCAGCATTTCACGTTGCAAACTTTTTTTTGTGTGAAAATAAGGAAAGGATCGGTGATTGAGTTAATACAGCAACTGCGGAATACTGCTTACGTTGAAAATAAGTGACTGGAATTTATGGCTTACCCGAAGAAACGGCCGACTATCCCCATACCATACTGTCGGCGATTGCTATTGTCGAAGACGCGATCGATAGTGCTCGACGATATTCTTTTTGCACCAAAGAGCCCCTTTGTCCTTGGGCCAGGGACTTCGGCATCCGTAGCGAAGGTTGGGATCATATGCATTGGCTCTTGCAACTCCAATTTCGTCCTGCGGTTTGAATTCAGGGATTTTCTTTGAGAGACTTTCCTGATTAAAAACGTTGATTTGGAGATGCAATGTCATCTCACACAAATGTATTTGAACAGAGCGACGTTTAAATTTATAAAGGTTAACATTCAAATATTTTACGAGGTGTTATTTTATTTAAAGTAGATTATATTATTGACTGGTAGATTAGGTTTTCATTTTCTATATTTTAAAACATTGTTTAAGCTAGGATTATACCCATTTATTCAAAGACAAAACCTTTATCAAAACAAAGGATTCATAATTAAGTATATAATTTTATATAATAGTATGATTTAGTAGTCGAATTCAACTGGTATTCTGCTAATTCATATTGATAAGTAACGATGATCTTAAAAGTTAATTATTTTATGGTATTCAATAATAAAGCAAGAGTTGGAATACAATAAAGTACGTAAGTTAATACCTGTTACTTTTCAAATTTTATGCATGTGAGTAAATGCGATGGAAGCTATAATAATGCTTAAAGCCGCTAACCTTAGGGTGTAGTGGTCCCTCGTGGATATGGCCCGAGATCTTCTGGTTTGACAATCAACACTCGCTCGATCCGCTGTTCGCTTATCCATGACCACAATAGTTGAAGGACTCCTATTCCAAAAGAATACTTTTAAGTTCATAACTCAGACTGTTGATGCAATTGAGGTGTCACTTGTCAAACATTAAGAATTTACTTTGACAAGTGTTCGGCGGCGCTATGATACTAGTTTCTTGTTCGAATATGCAGAAGTAAGTTATGAAAGAAGAAATTATGAAAGATCAAGTAATTATAAATAAGCCTATTAATTTTTTATAATAGAAATGTAATATGTAGGACGATGTCTTTCTGGCCAAAGCAAAGCAAGAGATCAGATTGTGATATTTATAAATGGAAATTAATGAACTTATTCCAACAATATTTCTCCACTGCCTTTACAATTTAAATACTTATTGAACTAAGTATTGCGAAATAAAATGTTTAAAAGAAAATGGCTAAAAATGTTCTAATTGTTGCATTATGACTATTTTCCTTTATAAAAATGGATATTATAATTATTATTTTTGAAAATAATATCTTTTACACTTACTTATATGAAGATTATATGAATATTTAATAAATCTATTATTGTCATAAAATTAAATCTTAATGCTCGTTATGTTCACAAAATTCGCAATATTCATAAAATTCAGAATATAAATTAAATTAATGGATTTAGAACATTAGGTTCAGAAAAATAAGGTTATTAATGATTTTAAAATAAAATAATAGAACCCTGAATTTTCTGATTATAAAGATGACAAAATGCACGAATTATAGTGGCTAAAGCAAGAATCTGTAATTAGAAGTAAACGAATATACTAAAAGGGTTCATTCAAACAGGGTTATTAAATTAACGAAGATAAATAAATCAAAGTGAAATAAAAATAAAAAGTAGTATATAAGAAAATAATGAATTCACGGGATATAGAGGATGATTAAGAATTTAAAAACAATTTCGTAGAATTAAAGACGAGACATTATTCTATCGATAAGTAGACGGGGTTTTGCACTGTAATGTCAATAGAGTGATACATTATGTATGTGAAAATAAATTCAACAAAAATTGTCTTTAATTTCATTTAATAATTAATTAAATAACTTAAATTAGCGGTGTCGAACAATTTTTATATTTGATGATAAAATATGTTTCCTACTGATTTGAAAAAATTTAGTAAATTAAAATAAACTACCTTGTTGATACATTAAATAATAAATTACTAAAAAATAATTAATTTTTTATTATTAACAAATTAAATTCTCACACATTTAATTTAAAATAGAAATTTAATCAAAAACAAGTATTTAATTTTTTACTTGAATTATGACTATATTAATTTTCTCAATTTTTAGTCGATAAGAAAGGCAGATGATAAGATGCAGTGCATGTTTGAATTTAAATATTGTAATGCAGAGTAAAGCTAAACTTGCCAATTTCAAAGTTTGACGTGCGATCAACATACACTTAGTAATTAGAAAATTAAAAAATACAATCAGCTGGTAATTTTCCTCGTTAAATTTAATTTTGCGAGAGCAAAGTGGTTTTATGGGGCTTAGCGAAGAAAACAACAATTGTACCAGATTCTCCCGATTCCCTCGGATGCGTCAATGACGGATGTATCGCCTGCTCCGTCGGCGTCCTCGGTTACAATGGCAGTGGCTCCGAGGTCCTCCATAAGTTGCGTCTCGTTCTCTTGATCAGTGGTGGGGGCCGCGGAAACCACCATGGCAAGTGGCGCTTGAAAAAAGGTCTCCTCCTCTTCGTCATCGTCGACTGCCGCATCTGCCGTCGGAGTTTCGACTACCTGTATGACGCTTGGCGGGAAGCTGCGGGAGTCACCTTGCGTCGCTGATGTCTCCAGTGGCCTTTGACGCCTCAAAGTCTAAAAGGTAAACAATAAGCATTATTCGATATCGTTTATTGATGTTTATAAATTGTAATTTATAGCGACCAGCTAAAATTTTAATAGGGAATTAATATTGGGGTGAACTTTCGACTGAAAAATCGTCATTGGCCGTTATTTATTTATTTTGTTTAACCAATTCTTACACTTATTTGACAATGTTGTAAAAACTTTATTGTTTTTTGAGTAAGTAATAGCATTAATTGATAAAGAATTAATTCCAGTTTTCATACATATTGTAAATATGTCAAGAAGAATTTTGTCAGGAAATAATTAACTTTGCAGGTATGTAAATTTGTGCTGAGAGGCATTGCTAATAAAAGAGTTTTGTCTTCGCGTCGGAAATCAAGAAGATCACTACGACTATAGTGTTATCTCATGTCTTTCTTATACGTACGTCGAATATATGGATGCATTATTCAATAATATTATTTACAAAAAATTTTCTTGCATTAGATTGTAGGAGTGACTTTAAAGTTATACACTTTTCCCTGATAACTACATTTCGCAATTTATTCGTAAACAATCTCTTATTTATGCCGAAAATATCTTTATAACTATTAGACTTTGACAATGCCTTCTTTGTTTAGTTAATTAGTGATAAAAAATAAAGCCAATTGCTAGAAACACGATAATAATAAGCTAGTAATTTCATCCAGTGCAAGAATAAATAAAAATAATATTTATAAATGATTATCCATTGTCAATTTCTGTAATTCTTACGGTCGAAATGATAGCTTGGACATTTCCAAAATAAAGCAATACAAGAAATTTGGACTGCGAAATTCAGAAAACTGTTGCATCGGACTAACTTCGAAATGTAGTATTACAACAACTTTATATACTCAGAATAGTGCCTCAATGAAACCATAGACACGATATTCTATACACAAGAACAGAGAGAGTGTTACGGATTATAGCAGTTTTAAGCGGTATACAAAGTAGGAGAGGTAAAGTCACCTGTGCTTAGGTAGAAACATTTGCGTTCCAATTCTGTGAAATCGGGAAGCTTCTTTCTCATAGGAGGACCCCACAACACCCTACCAGATCCATCAGCACGCGACTCAAACGTATCGACACTCTCAAAATGGCAATTCATACAACAACGAATCCAAGAGTTCTGGACGCAATGGACTAAACATTATCTGCAGCAATACCTCTCAAACTCCAAGTGGCATCACCCAAGCAATACTATCAAAGTTGGATCGCTAGTCCTCATCACAGACAAAAGACAACCACCGTGCAAGTGGCCTTTCGTCAGAGTCCTAGAGCTGCACCCTGGAAAGGATAAACTGACCAGACTGGTGACACTAAAAACAGCCTCTTCGACAATCACAAGACCAATTCACATCCTTGCAGTACTACCAGTTCCCACCGAAGACACGAATCATAATTATCAATGAATTAATGATGGCGGGCGGAATGTTACGGATTACAGCAGTTTTAAGGGGTATACAAAGTGGGAGAGGTAAAGACACCTGTGCTTAGTTAGAAACATTTGCGCGCCAAGTCATAAACACAATCCTGTGAAATAGGGAAACTTCACTACGTAAATAATCGAATATTACATTATAATTCCGATTAACAAGGCCGACGAACTCCCCAAGGCTAGACTCTAGTGACGTCTCTCTAACAATCGGCATAGCAAGAGTGAACCGATAGTCACCGGATCTGTAAGCTTGCACTAGAATATTTAAGGAGCTGCGTTTGACGCTCTCGCTCTCTTACTACTTCAATCAAGCACTCATCACGACAGGATCGCCAATGCAACATAGATCGGCTTCAGCCCGCACGTAAGCTACGTCACTACGCTCGTTCTTACGTCTTACTAATACAAGAGTCCTCGTCAACTACGTAAGCAGCAACACACTACGAACGTGCACCAATACCATCACTACATCTAATCTCACGCACACATATGCTGCGGCGCATCACGAACGTCACTCGCCACTATAGGTCTAAGAGCGACCCTCGCGCTCACTTAAGCACCGCACACTATCGATATTGCGTTACACCGATACGAGTGAATCTCCCACTCACTCAAGCAGTGACGTAACACGGACATCCTCCCACCACCCGACCACTACAGCGCTCACCCTACGCCGGCGGCTGAGGCGGCACCAACTCGCTGCCCCTACTAGCACGAGTCTCTCACTACACTACTCAACTTATAAGGAGAAGGGGAATCACCCTCCAGGCTATCAAGAATACACCTACAGACTTATCGCCACTAACATTAATTGAAGTAACACTCATCTATTCATTGTCTCATACATTCATTTCGACATCCATAGATCATTGACTATTTATTATATTTATTATAATTAATAAAAGTAAGACAATAAACTCTAAAGGCAGTATTGAATTATTGTATTGCCCCTTCCACTTTCCAGCAAGCCTCCATCCACCATCAAAAGGAGGTTTTTAGTCTGATCCCAGACAGAGAGAATTATAATATTCCTAAACTATAATAATACAATATGAATTTTATCCAATTAAAACTCACACATATAAATATGATTTTAAATTCTGTCTATAATCTATAAATTTCTATAATATTTATTTATATATTATTATTTATAATATTATATAATATTTATTTTTTTTAGAATTTAAATTTTATGTTTTGAAATTTTATATTATGATAATACATTTCTTGCAATTTATTTAAGATACTCCTTTTTATATATTACATAAAACTGTTTCCCATTGCTTTTTTATATTGTTAAATTCGAGAATATCTGTATTTATATAATAATTTATAACAATTCATTAAATCCATATCATATATAGAAACATTTTAAATTAACATTTTTAAATGTTTTTCGATCTCAGTTTGTCTGTCTAGTTTCGCCCTCGTAAGTGCTGATTTAACAAGCTAAGTTGTACTGAAATTTATAGGAGTTCGTGGAATACCAACAATAAGGTAATGGAGGGTAATGGTTGTTGTATTTCAATTACGTACAATAAACGGTGAGGAGTGGATTCTATACGCTAGCATGCACTCATTTCTTTCATATCTTCAAATACATTAGTATTTGACTAATTTAAAAATTCTTTCACCGTTTATTCAACTTGTTATATATTTTTTATTTACTTATTATATAACTTATGATATACCTTATTACGAATAATAGTTATTTAATTTAAAATTTATTTTACAATAGCAATTTAACCACTAACCTTTTTTACAAAATTCAATGTATAAAATATCTAAGATTTAAAATTTAAAGAATATATATTTATTGTTTAAAAAATTCTTTAAAAAGAATTTTTTCATTTTGCTACTATATTACTTTATTTATGTTTATTTACTTTATTTATTTAATAAATGTGGGCTATACAATACTATAGACAATCAAACAATTTAATAATGCCACAATTTAATGCAAATTACATATTTTTGTTCATATTAATGGTAAAACTAAGTAACTAACGATAATTTAAGCAGTACGCAATGGTATTTTGAGACTTTGCTAATCATAGCTTGTATTTAGAATAGTTTTAATTTAATTTTCAACATACAAGTTTAAGTTTTTAATTTTCTTTCTTCTTAGCATAAAATTAAAGATAGTGTTAATTAAAGATAGATTAATTAAATACTATTCAATTTTAAAATTTTATACAGATTAGTTGTACTATACATTCGTATTTTATTTAATAATATTATAAAAGTATTTTGAAATATTTGTAGAATTTTTTATTTGATATAGAATTATTTATAATTTATTAAGTACAGAAATTGAAAACATTTGATCTAAAAAGACAGTTATTATAAAAAATTTTGGTTAAAATTTCAACTCCAATTCAATTAGTTTTTTTAAAAAATAAGCACACCATAAGTTAAGTCACGCCATGCAGTAACTTGTTTATGATAAGATATAAATTGATTGAAACATTGTCTATCGTACATTTTAAATATATATTGAATGATTATAAAAATATGTGTTGAGTGAATATTCAAATAAAAAATTCAATAATTAAAATAGTTAACAGATAAAATAAAAAATATATATAGTTGTAATCAACAAAAATATTAAGCATAAGTATATTCTTGCTCCACATATACAACGATTAGTAGATCTAAGCACAATTAAGAGCGTTCATGAGCCGAAGAAGGTTCAAATGCTTATACGCGAGTATCCGAACGCGCATGTAACTTGCAGTGCTGTCGATTTAAGGACTATTAAGTCGATATTACATATATTGCACCATATATTGCAGTGCGAAAGGAAAATATTGTTAATTAATATTTAATTAAAAATAAATTTTTATTTAAATACTTTGAATTTGTAAATGAATTAAAATATAGTTTGTGGTCAAAAGTTGCTATTTTGATAAAATCCAATTCAGGTATTCTTTTTTATATCTATTTTTAATAACTTTATTTTTATGTAGCTGCTTATTTATTTTTGTTTTTGTATTTTTCTTTTTAAAAATATGTACAACATATACAGAAGAGTAACATTTTTTTAATCTTTTACCTGGAAAAACTTTCGTTCCAAACGAATTATTAGATACTATTTTCAATATATATTTTCAATATCCTCGTTTTTTTTTGTACGAATGCATCTACTAAAAATCAATTGACTTATTTTAAAAACATTAGTATAATTAAAGTTACTAAAACTAGAAATTAATTTTTTCATTGCTCTATAACTTAAAAATGTTGATTTAATTGATAAAGCTTATTAAAATATTATTATAATTCTTAATTTATTAATAATTTATTATTAATAACTAATACATTAATCGTATAAAGTATTTTCAATTTTATATATTTTATCGAGCTAGTTCAATTACTACTAATTAAAATGAAATTAAATTAAAATTATTAATATTCATTCAAATTAATTAAATTTAAATGATTTGACAAAAAATATAATTTGTAAGGCAATACAAGTGAGAATTATTAATTAAACTATTATTAATTATTTGCTCACGACTTTTACTAGAAAACTAATAATTTAATATTAATT